TAGAGTACATATGCATAAGGGAAGAGGGAACTCCTGGTTCATCCAGGGCTGGACACCCTCTGTGAGCCCCAACAACTTCAGCTGCAGCTTCTGAAGATACTAGAAAACTCTAAGATTCAGAGGAAGGTAAGCAATATATATGTCCAGGGATCTGAAGAAGCCTGGCATGAAGAAACATAGAAACAGATCAAGTCACGAGGGGTCTCCTGGGCCATCTAGTCTGACCCCTGGGTCCAGCTGGCTTTGCTCATGACATGCCTACCATGTGCATGTCCAGCCCCAGCCTATCCTTGAACACCCTCACTGCTGGGGCTTCAACCACCTCCCGTGGAAGCCCATTCCATACCCTTGGGGTCCTAACTGTCAGGAACGGCTGCGATATTTGGGTTTAATAAAATGGTGAGTCAGGTGATGGTGAGCTACAGGGCAGAGGCATTCTGGTCACTCACCTGAATTCATTGCTGAATTGGAAAAAGCAGAGAGAAGGGAAACAAAAATGATCAGGGGGATGGAGCAACTCCCCTTTGAAGAAAGGCTGTGACAACTGGGACTGTTCAGCTTAAGAAAAGGTGAGTAAGGCAAGACTTGATAGAGATACTTATTATGCACAGAGTAGAGAAAATAGAGAAGGATGCATTTTTCTCCCTCTTCTACAACACTCAAACCTGCTGACCGGGGGAAGGCTTAGGAGAGACAAAAGGAAATACTTCTTCACATCTATCATTAAACTGAGAAATTCCCTGCCATAGGAAGTGGTGATGGCCACCAATATGCAGGGATTGGACAGATTCATGAGGGAGGAGGCTCAGTGGCTACTGGACTTGCTGGCTATGAGCCATCTCCTTTACCAGAGGTGGCAAACCTGCATGCATCGCTTGCTGTGGAGCCTGGGCAGGTGGAGGTCTTGCACCCATCCTGTTTGAGTGATCTTGTGGGCAGCTGTTTTGCTACCAGGTGTACAGAGTGCTGGACTAGATGGACATCGGGCCTCATCCAGCATGGCTTTTCTTATGTGTGAGGTGAAGAAAGAGGGAGAAGTTTTTCATTCTTCTCTCCTAAGGTGAGAACCTGGGAATCATTCAAGGAATGGTGGGAGATTCTCACAGTGCATCATTAAACTACGGCATTTGCTATCACAAGACGTGGTGATCGGAACCGACTTAGATGCCCTTAAAGCCGGATTAGCCACATTTCTGGACGAGAAGGTTATCCGTGGCTGTTAGTCCCTGAGCTAGCCCTGTGTGGCCAGCAGGCTGTGACGACTGGGCAGCCCCTTCCGCGCCAGCGACAGAGGGTGCCGCAACGGACGGGCCCCCGGTCTCGGCTCTGACCCAGCGCAGCTCTCGCGGCCGCGCGATTGGCCCGCGCACCGGCCGGGCTGGGCGGGCGGCGGGCGGCGAGCGAGCAGCGCCGCGTTCGGCGACGGCGGGCGCTGGCAGGTGGCTGCGGCGACCGCCCCGCTCCTCTCGCCTCCGTGCGGGCCAGCGGGGAGCCGCGGCGCCGCGGCACGGACGTGATCCCGCCGCAGGCTCCTGAGTCACTCGGGCACCCAGCCGGCGGCCGGCCTTCCGCTGTCCGTTCCTTCACTGTAAGAAGCATCCGGAGCGGCGTGACGCCGCCGCCGCTTCGTTTCCAAGAAGAGCGCAGGGGGAAACCAGCGCGGCGTGGTTGGGCGGGGACTAGGCCAGCCGCTCGCTTGCAGCCTTGCCTACCTCTCAGGCCTGTCGTGAGAATAAAATGGAGGGGAGCGGGTTATGTAAGCCGCCTTGAGCTCCGTGCAGGGCAAGGAACAGGGCAGGGTATAAATAACAGTAATAAGGAGGTCTGCCCGCCGGCCATTCTTATGCTCCTTGACATTTCCCTTTATTGTTACTAGGAACTTTGGGTCCGTCACTGGCTCTCCACACAACCCACTTCACAGAGTTGTGAAGGTTAATGGAAAGGCAGATTAATTTTTGATTTAAAATTTGCTTTGATTTTTTTCCAGGAAAAAGATGGTATGTAAATATGATACATTCAAAAAATGTAATAAATAAAATGTGTATTATGCGTGAATTGATTAGGTTCATGAGATGCTCAATTAAAGAAAGAAAGGTACCTGGAGGCAAGAATTCCCCATTGCTGTCTGTTTGTTTAAACAACAGCTTTATGCTTTGAGCAAAAGCAGTATATAAGTAAACCAACAAAGTACCCACTCACATACATTAATTGTTGTGTCTAGATTCTTTCCCAGTGAAACACAATAGAGGCTGCAGTCTTAAGACACACTAACAGTACAGTTGTGATTGTGACTAGTCAGGACTAAGCCCCGTTCTGTTCAATGGGATAGTCTCACAGCTAAGCATCTTTAAGAATGTGTAGTCTAGGGGTTGGGAGACCAAGTCCCAGTGGGTGTAGGAGAACTTACCTTCAAGTCAGAATAGCTATTGCAACTGGCCCTCAAACCCTAAATGCCTTTCACCCCATGCTCAGCTCATGGATAGATATGAAAGAAGAACATGCAAGCAAGCATGGATTCTAGTGACCACTTGTCCCCTGTTGTTCCCAGGCAACTTTACTGAGCTTAGAGGAGTATTCCAATCAGTATCCCACTGATTGTGTGACAGCAGGAATAATTTGCAGGGGTTTGGAGGGTTAACATACAGGATATCCACACTTCTTGCAACCATGTAATCTGGACCAGCATTATTAATCTTCCTTCTGCTTGGAATAAGGTCACCTCAGGAGTTCATGACTAATGCCAGAATTTGTAGATTTGGGTTCTTGCTTGTTCATAACTTTTGGGGGTGGGGGATTCCCAGAAAGATTCCCAGAAAGCATGCCTGGACATGTTCAGAGCATGTTTAGACAAGCTCTGTCTAAACATGAATTGGTTTGCACCCTAAATCCATCTTGTTTCAGAGGCCTCAGGGCAGATAGTATCAAATAAATAAGAAATAATTTATATATTTATATGATACAATTACAATATTATAGAGTTACAAATAGGGAATGCAAGTTATGTCCAAGCTCTTCACCCAAAGCTGCAATGTATTGCTTTCCCTATACCAACATGCTGAATTTGACTTCCAGTGCATCCCATTCAGACAGATACCAAAGATGTCATGTTCTATTAAAAAGAAAGAAAGAAAGAAAGAAATTTAGAGTAAAAGCAGGCCAGCTTGCACAATTATTCAATTATTTATTTAATTTCTATACCACTCAACAGCCAAATCTCCCTGGGCAGCTCACAAAGCAAATGCAGTTGTTTTAGTGTTTTTCTTTTCTCTTTTATTTCTGTCACATCATTTCTTGAAGATTCTTTGGATCCAACTTTGGCACACTTTCAAATGGAGATGCACAGGGAAAGAGGAACCTGAGCATCTTACAGAATTTATATAGGAGGTACCAGGTTTCTCCAAATATATACTTCTCTTATTATCCTCTCTGGCAAGGTCTGAGCACACTTTCCTTGGTTAGAAACAAAACCCTGTGGGAAGAAAATACTGCTGAGAAAAATGTGTTTGGAACTGTGCTGCCAGAACAGTGTATATATATTCTATAGATTCTATATATACACATATAGGCAGAAAAATGACTCCAAGGAGCATATATGTAACCAGAGAACAGCTCCTCCATTGGCCTGTCAGCCTGACACTTGAAGAAGTGTCTGTGTAACATAAAACGATCAGATACCAAAAGTATCTTTAAGATACCATTCCAGTATCCGTGTGCTCGCTGGAGAATTTGCCTCCTCACCCTCTAAGTGACTCCACAAGGCATTTTTCTCTTTCTTACAGCCCAATCCTATACATATCTACTCAATAGTAAGCCCCAGTAAGTTTGATGGGACTTACTCCCAGGTAAGTGTGCATAGGATTGCAATCCTACAGTTCCAACCCAAAGAGTGGCTTTTCTCTCTGCCAGTTCTTTTAAAGGTCCAGCAAATATCTTTTTTCCCTTCTTTTTTGCCTCTAGTGAGCGCCCGACCTCTTTTGCTTTAACAACTTACTTGTGTGGGTCTGAGAACGAGAAAAAAAATGAAAGTATTTTTCTTCTGGAGGAATAATGCCTTCGACCTCCCATGCAACAACTGTTTTGGCCTGTAATGAAGGATCTGCTACTTTTTCCTGTTCTTCTCTCTCTCTCATACACTCTCTTGCTCGCTCTCTTTTGCAAGCTTAACACTAAAAGCTTAAATTCCACATATTTCCACAAAGTAAGACATTGTTGGAAGGAGGTGGAGGAGGAAGAAGTGGGGAGAGGATAGAAAAGAGTGGCGTGTTGGGCATTCTTTGATTGTTGCGTCTTGAACGAGCAGCATGGACAGACTTGGAAAACAGAAGGGAAACACAGAAGAAAGTTGCAACTTGCAAAGGGTCTGTATGTTAAGGGGAAACTTTTTTAAAATTAAAAGCTGCTCTGCCTGTCTATCCAGAGATATCCATCTTTTCCCCTTCCTCTTTCCAGCGCGCTTTGCTAAGCCCCAATTGGAAGTGGTGGATCATCAGTTCAGCTCAACTGCCTCGCAGCAGCAGCAGCAGCAGCAGCAGCAGCAGCAGCAGCAGCAGTAGGTGGTGATGTAATAGGTACCAAGGCACATGGATATATAAATGTTGTTGGTTTAGGGGGTGAAGGACTATGGCTGAGCAGCTCGAGAAGAAGGTCCCCACTTGAGAGAAACCCTCTGGAACTGCGATCAAGTTCAGAAGAAGCTTCAGCTGGGTGCCCCCCCGCGCGCCCCAGCCCTCGCTCCCTTACACACACTCACACTCACACACACACCCTCGGACTGCTCATAGGATTTCTCTCCCAGGCAACCCGGAGAGAGGGTCTCCAGTGCCTTGGGGGACTGAGCTGCTTGGGATTCCCCCCGCCCAGGATCATCCCCGTCTTCTTCCCCTCCTCTCCCCCCTTTCCTCCTGTGATCCAAGTCCGAAGTGGGAGCTCGGCGGAGAGGGTATATTTTTAGAGCGATTGCCTCCCTGGGAAAACCACGTGTGCTGCCCATGTTGCTCAGGATGACTGGCCCGTCTTCGGCCTGCTTGCCAGTCTTGCTCCTGGGACTGCTTTCGCCGTGGCTGGCAGGGCGCTGCATGCCCGCCTTCGCCCAGCAGCAGCAGCAGCAGCAGCACAACGAGAGCCTGGAGTGGCGCTGGGGCAGCCTCTTCTCGCGCTCCATGGCCAGGCTGCCCGGGGAAAGGAAGGAGCTCAGCCGGGACGGGGACTATCTGCTGGGCATCAAGAGGCTGCGACGCCTCTACTGCAACGTCGGCATCGGGTTTCACATCCAGGTCTTGCCAGACGGCAAGATCAACGGGATCCACAATGAGAATCGCTACAGTAAGTCGCTGCGCCTCGGCCGCCGTCTCCCACCTGGTCAGTTGCAGGCGCGTCAGCTGAGCTGCCGGAAAGGGCGCTCGTCCCCGCGCCTGCCGGGAGAGCTTCTGACTAGAGGGATAAATAAAAGCCAGCCAGCCAGCCAGCCTGCCTTCCTTTTTTTGGGTGGGGGGGGGCGGACTTCTTGTGTTCCTTTAGATCGGGTTGACTGAAGGGTGTAGGGTGGAGAATAATCTGCCCATTTCATGCGTCTACTTACGCCCCGATCATGAACACGTTTACCTAGAAGTAATCCCGATCGCCAACTTTCCAGTAAAAGTGCCAAGCTGTCCAACTCTCCGCCCCACCCCAAACAAATGTTCCGTTTCAAGACGGCAGGGTCAAAGTCAGAGCTAGCCCTGGCTGCACTAGCCTTGCAGCGCCCTCGAATGCAAGACCCGGCCTCTTGGAGAGCGGATGGCGATCCAAAAGCAGCTCCCATGAGGGAAGCCTTGGTCAAGTTAGTGGGACTAAACTTCGTTTCATACCTCTTAAGTTTTCTTAGGACATACTTATGCGGGACGGGTGGGGTGGGGGGATCATGCAAGTTGCATATAGGTTGCCAGGTGTGATGATTTTGCTTGCATGCTTGTTAGTAGATGCTGGAGAATCCAAGCAGCTAAGACCAGACCTGATGATTTGCATGTCAATTGCACATTTTTTGCCTTGACAAAAGGGTGTTGAGTTTTGTTTGTTACAGTTTGCTCAAATGAGCACCTTAATGGGTGAGGAGTTCCTTAATGTCATGTATGAAAGAATTCTGTTTCTGGACTTAATTCTACCAAAATTTAGCCATGTTTCATTTATATATGACACAAGAGGTGTGATAAAATGCTTTTTTAAGCCACTAGTCCTCACGATTTCAAGGGGGAAATTATTTAAAATGCCTAATCCAAAATGTCACCTATGGGACAATTAGTTTTATATTCTCCCACACAGGCAACTAAATACTTTGCTTGTGGCTGGCATTGGTTACTTTTGTTAAGTGAGCACAGACATCTACATTGTAAGAAGCAGAATTCCAAAATCCTCTGTTAGGAAGTTTGTTGCATCACGTTACCTGGGAAATTCACTCAGAGAAGAATAAACAGATGTGCTCATTCTGTGAATTCAAGGTATGATCCCACAGAAGGAAAAACTTGCACTACCCAATCCTGATCATGATTCCTGAGCAGCTGGGTTCAAATAAGCCTAAATATTTATTCATGTATTTATTTCTAGACCATCCAATTGCTGGAGCATCTCTGGATGGTTCGCAACAATTACAATGCTAAAAATACAACTAAATCTTTAAAACGACTATCTAGCAATAATAAAGTTTAAAACTACAGTACTTCTGTTAACCGAAAGGCACCGGGTGCTTTTTGTAATGTCTTGATGCCTCCAGAATTGCAATGAGCAGCAACTCGGATGCCCCCCCCCCCCTTGCTTTTGCAGCAGGCTTACAAATAGTTAATGAGGGACTCCAGATCCCACAGCGACTCTGCCAAGTAGTTAGGATAGTTAAGCATCTGTTAGTGACTTAACCCCATGGCCCCTTGGCTCTAATTCTAACCACCACCCAACTGAAACAATAGGGCTGGGGAAGAGGGGTTAAAGACAGCACCATGACAAATGTTTCACATGTCCTGAAACATATTGTTACTTATTTTAACCTGGAAGATGTGGGGGGTGACTGTTAAACCTTTTTTTAACAAACAAAACCTGTAACTTTTAAAATGTATCTGGCTGATTTTGTAGGTGCTGAAGATGCACTGAATGCATGACAGGACTTCACAGTGCTTCAAATATCAGTTAGCAGCTTGGCTGGGGCAAAAGATGATAGAAAGCCAATGGTGGGTTGAAGACAGAATAGACCAAAGGCACAATCCAATCCATGTTTAGACAGAAAGAAGTCCTACAATTTCTACCAATTTCCCCAGCCACCATGGAACACTGAACCTTAAGTCGTCCCCCACCTGATGCTCTCCAAGTGGCCAATGGCCATGCTTTCCAGGAATGATGGGAAATGTTGTCCAGCACATCTGGAAGGTGCCAAGCTGGGGTGGGCTGAGGTTGATTGTTACACAGGAACCCCCATCAAAGTCAGCCGTTCTAAATCACTTGCTTTGCAGCTGTCATGTGGTGAGTCCTTCGTGGAGACCAACTAGACCATGCAACTTGAGCAGGTTGCTTGCTTATTTTAAATTTTTTTAGGCTGTGTTTAAGGGAGAAACTTGTTAAGGTTTTTTTTAACAAGACCATACAAAGAGGGTATAAAATCCAGAAAGATAGAAATCACCAATACAAATCAATGGAAGTGAAATGTACTCATACAGACAGCAGCCAAGATGTATGGAAAGGCTAGCAAAAACAGGAGAGTCTTTAAAGCTTTTCAGAAGACCAGCAAAGGGGCCCGGTGTTCCTCAAATCAGTGCTGGTTCCACGAGTGTGGAGCCACCACTGAAAACGCCCCTGCAGTCTGGCACTTCTTGGCCCTGTCTTCTGTCTCAGGTTCTGAACTAGCATGAAATCCAATAGGGCATAGACTATATGTCTGTGGATGATGGTGGGGGATTGGCTAACAGCTCTGCTGAACCACTGTGTGGTAACTGAGTGCCACATAGTGGCAGTACAATGTACATCAGCCTTATACTTACTCATGAGTAGCAAGCTCCAAAGAAATCAAGCTTCTGCTTTGCAGCCCATGCATGCTACAGTAATCCAAAGAAATCTGTGGAAATACTCTGAAGCCAAATACCTTGGCTTGGAAATTGTCTGGAGATTTTTAATATATAAAATAGTATAAAAACTTTAAATAAATTAGTAAATGCATCATGCATTCTTGTTTATATAATCATGTAATGTGCTCACCAGAACAAAATGCAAGAACCTTGCAAGTGAAAATTCCCATTTATCTCAATCTAGTCCTATTGCATATATCAGAAAATTCTGGATTACATCCTATCTATCTTACCATGCTAGATTGGCTGCTATACTGATATAATCATGAGAATATTAATGTCACCAGAACAGCACTATAGCAAGAGCGTCCTTGATCATGTGGTTTAAGAGAATGACAATTGCTCTGCATATATCTCTTAACTGACTCCCAATGCACTGTGCTTCTCTTTCAGGTTTGCTTGAGATTTCTCCAGTGGAAAGAGGAGTAGTGAGCATCTTTGGTGTTAAAAGTGGACTTTTTGTAGCCATGAACAGTAAAGGCAAGCTGTATGGATCTGTGAGTAGCAATTACGAAAGTGTTCACCTCAGTTTTTTTTAATTCCTCCTTTAAAATGTGTGTGTTTAACATGGAAACACTCAATCTATAATTTAGTCAAAATATGTCATGGGAACCAGTGTTATGTTTCTTTTGGTTGAAGAGCAGTGCTAGGAGCTGCTGGGACCATGGCATAGAAGTATTTGAATAAATACATATTATAATCTGATATAGTTTCCTTACTGACTAAGCCCAAATGGCACCTGTGTGGTTCTCTTGAATAAGGGCTGTAGCATTAGAAAAAGGTGCGGGAAAGGAAGGACCTAATCTTCCCTAGAACATGCCCATGCTTACAATGGGAGGTCATTCTGAAGGCTGCAGGGTAGTAGGAAGATGCTCTTAATGGGAAGTATATCTCCAAACATGCAACCTATTTGCCTGGCAAACCAAAGGACAATACTAAGAGCTTCAAGCAGCTAATACAAGGATCTGCATGTGTTTTTGCAAGGTACATTCCCAAACTGACTTCCAGGACACATTCATGTATTCAAAACCATGAAAAGGGTGCAATGCTACACATGTTTGTGCTGGAGCTGAGCACACTGGGTCTTTCCTTTGCAGTGTGTTATGCATAGGATGGCAGTCTCAGATTAATTCAAATGCTCAGAAAGAAAGGAGGCTGTGTTCACCGGGCTGTGACTTTCTCCTTCTTCCAATCAACATTTGCCAGGTCAATCATCCTGCTACACAGACCCCAAAAAATTGCCTGCCCTCAGAGAAGGCATGTTCTAGAAAGTGACTCATACAGAAACACAGGAGGTTGCCCTAAAAGTAGGAGAAGGCCTTTATGAGGACCAACTCAAATGTCACAAGATGCTGAGCAGGACTGATGTTCTCCAGGACTTTTCTTGAGGCCAGAAGTCAAGCAAAACAGGTGGGAAAGGGTGTTCATGCAGGGTATGGTGCAGGAGCTCAAATGCTTGCAGTGAAGGTACAGTACAAGAGTCATTGTGCAGATTTAATCAGGACCTAAATAGTTATTCATCCAACACTCTGCAAGAGGAGGTTTGGCCCTTTCCTCTCCAGTCATGATCCTAAAAGATCCCACCCCCCACCCCCCGCAACCCCAGTTGGTGCAGTTAGTGCTAGGAAACCCACTCCCACTGTAGCTTTATTCTCTCTTTAATAGCAGCACAGGGTGGTGTGATTTGCATTGGGACTGTGGCTGGCAACACAAGGAGCCTTCCCCACTCACAGTGTCAAAAGGTAAATCTCCATCCACCATGCCTAGGAGTTAAATGTTGGAATCCCCTAGTTTTGCTGACAGCCATGCAATTAATGTGGGAGGGGCTGCAGCTGCAGGGACTGGTGGAGCAACTCCTTGGCACAAGAAGGTTTCAGGTTCATTAGCACTTCCAGGTAGGGCAAGGAAAAGATGCTGCCTGAAAACCTAAAGAGCTGCTGCCAGTCAGTGTTGACAGTACTGGGCTAGATGGACCAAAGTTCCGACTCAGAATAAGGTAGCTTCCTATGTTCCCAAAATGCAGTTAAACCTTAAGATTAAATCTCTGCTAAGTATAAAAGAATTCCAGTTGCATACAGAGGTCCTACGACACTGAAACAATACTTTTGGTTGTTTTGTGCACTCTTAAAAAATATAAATTGAACACTTATCCAGGTCTGTCTCTAGCACAGAGTCCCATGCCATCTCTGTAATCTCCCCATATGAGTTAGAAAACATTCTTCAACTCAAGGAATCACTTATTTTTTTTAAAAAAAATATTTATTTAATGTCTATACCGCCCAATAACCAAGGCTCTCTGGGTGGTTTACAACAGTGCAAATTACATTAAAAACACTATCTACACACAATAAATACACCATGTTAAGCATCCTTTTTAAAAACTTACCAAAACTGTATTAAATGCATTTTTATATTCCATGCTCTAGAGAAGGAAGAAGCAGAGGCCCACAGTATGAGGGAAGGAGAATTTTAGAAATTCTCTTTTCCCTCTGCCAATCCTGATAATGATCCCTTCTCCTGCAAAGCCAGTATTTCTCCCACTCACTTGTGGAAGCGCATATTCCGGCAAGCTGGGTAACAACAACTTTACCTGAAAATCTCAAGATAAGATTTTCAGATACAGAATGCTATCAATACACCTGCGGGATGCTACTGAGATAGCAAAAGAGATAGGAGCGGGCATAAGGGCCAGTGCAGTGTGGTGGCTAGAGGGTTGGACTGGGGACCTGAAAGATCCAGGTTCTAGTCCTCACGCAGTCATGAAGCTCACTGGGTGACTTTCAACCAGTGACTCACTCTTAGCTTAACCTGCCTCACGGAGTTGTTATTGTTGTGGGAATAAAAAGGGAGCTATGCAAGCCACATCGGGTTCTTCAGAAGAGGGAAGAAGATGGGGTAGAAATGCAATGGAAGGTGGAGTATAAATGCAATGTAATCAAGATCAATTATCAAAGCATGCCCTGCCTCATTCTCCCTCATCCAACTAGGCCTAAGCATGCTTCCAATTTTGATTCAGAAGGAAGTTTGGAAATGCGGAAAGCTGGCAAACCGTCACTCCACATGGTGAGTGGCCAGGGCCTGCCCTACCATTAGGTAGCCTGAGGCAGCGCATTCAGGAAGGGGAGGGGTGGCCAGTGTTGCAGCTGGATGGGAATCACTCCGCCTGCCCCACACTCCCTACGCCGTGCTGCCATTGCCGTCATGCTGCCAGCCCTGAAGTAAGACTCGTCTGCCGGTGGGTCTACAGAATGAAGGAAAGGCAGCAAAACATTTAATTCCAGCCCTGTTGTTGGCTGTTGTTTTATTTAGTGACAAAGCAAGCCAGTGGCTTAAAACAAATAATCCAGTAGCCTGTGCTTCAGATATGCACACATTCATGTGATCTCTTGTAGAAGGAATGAGTTGTTTCGGGGTGGGGGAGGCACTTTTTTTTACACGCTGAATCTTGAGAACAAACCATCAGAGGCATTTCATTTCTTGAAGCCCACTTGGTTACTAAAAATAATTCAAGTCTTGTTTATGGTCATTTCCAGCTGTCCTTCTGTTGTGGCCTCGCTGTTTGTATAAACTGAGGTGGGCTGGGCCCTCTTCCCTGTGTTTCTGCAGAGCGATCGCTTTCACACTGACGGGCCCAAAAGCAAGCGAGATAAATCTAAGGGTGTAAAGGGCACAGGGGCAGGCAGGTAATTTTAGACTGGGGACTTAATGGTCTCATTCCCCACCCACCCCCTCTTTAGATTGAAATGTGTGTCACTGCTGCACTTCCAACATGGTAAGTTAACCCTGCTGTGTTTGGGAGCCTTCCTGCTCATCCTTCTGAATGCGTCCTGGGCATCTGCTCCAAGTCCTGCCCTAATCATGAGCCTGACACTTTCATTGCAAAAGTCACCTTCTTGGGCCTTGGTCAGCTTCTAATTTTTAGATTACACTGGGGTCTGACTCTTTGTTATTTCTGTGCCTGTAGTGATTTGCATCAGATGCCTTTCTCTTTTTGCACTTTCTGCATTTGTGTTTGTGTAGTCAATCCAATCCCACTTCCTTTACTCTATATATCAGAAAGAAAACATGAGGAGGGGTCCTGCTATATAAGCCAAAGGTCCATCTAGTCCAGCTTTTGGTTTCAGTGGCCAAGCAGACCACAAGGAGACCTTGTTTTGGCTCCTCAGTTGCATTCTCCCCTGGAAATCCCATATAGCTCTGTGCATTTGTCTAATTTCTTTCAAAGGCATGGAAACCCAGGGCCAACGTCAGCTCATCGCATGGTTCCCTGCATTGGCTTGTGAGAGACGTTCCATCACATATATGGATCCCCTGGAGGAAGAACTTTTCTAGGTTACAGCCTGAACACATGGCCTCTTCTCTGGGTCAGTGGGCACATTTGAAACATTGGGTGTTACGGGTGCCATCATAAGATGTCTGTCACAGTGGGCATGGCCAGTAACAAAACACTCATTTCCCAGAAGGCAAACTGGGGCAAGTAAAAGACTAGTAGATTGTCCAAGAACCAGAGTACAAGGCAGAGAGGGTGCCTGAGCGCCAAATACGCTCTGAGTTTGCACTGTAAAGGAATGAACAACATGAAATAATCCAAAGTCAAAAGTTTCCAGTGGTGCTAGACTCTGATGCCTCACCTTTTCTTGCCATGTTTCTCACAGGCCAATGTAGGCCTTTGTTGCAATATTTCTTTTGTCAGGCAAGTCCTAGCCAGGTGTTCCACATGGAATAGACTAAGCCCATGAGGCAGGTGTGCATGCTAGCCCCGCCCCATTTCTCAGGTGCATCTCACCTTCTCCTCATGGAGGGCCTCCTGTGGAGCAGGTGCTCTATTGCCTGTCCTACCTGCTCTCCATACTATTCAGAATGCTGATCTGCCACCATGCTAACGGTTTCCAGAGTTTTCTGCCATGGATAGATGAGGCTCCCATTGCAGGAAGTCGCCTTCCAGAAGTTTGCAGTGACAAAGGCCGTGCTAGCAGGTGGCAGAACTAGCATGCTCCCCCTCCTTATGCATTTTGCCTTTCAGATGTAGAATGCCCAGATAGGGATTCAGTTTCCTAAAAGATACTGGTGGCTTGCCTAATTAAGGGGTTGCAGAGAAAGGTGCACTGTGAACCTACTGTGAGAGTCTGGATGAGTCGTCTGTCAGGCATTAAGGAGCAGGCATCTGTTGAGGTAGCATGAAATAAAACAGCATACCAACTCCCGGGCAGGATTTCAAGCCCTGTCGGTAGCTCTGCTTACCACCCGTTTTGTAATTTCTGTCCTTGGGGTAATATGGGGAGCCTGTGACTAAGCAAGGGTTTCTGCAGTTCTCAATTTGGATGCCATCCGAGGGATCTGAGCTTCTGTGGCAAAGATGTAATACTGCTGTTGTTTTCCCAGCATTGAGTATGCTGTATTTTTACCTGGGAAACTCCATCGTGTTCTCATCCCCATCCAAGATATTGCATCTGTGCTATTAAAAGTGCTGTGCAAAATATGGCTGCATGGCCATACAGACTCTTGTTAGATATTGTCTGTGCTTTGGATGATGAGCAGCAAAACTCTTTCTCAAGGCCATTTTGCAAGTTGTAAAAGTTTTATTTTTTTAACTCCCACCCCAGCATTCCAGGCAGCAGTTAAATTTAGGAAAAATATGAGGAAACTAAAAATTTCCATCGCTTTCACCACAGTGGCACTTTGCACATCCTTTGCTTTGGTGAATTTCAGTTTGGCCTTTTAAGGCTGAGAACTCTTCTTTGCCAGTGCTGGCCTGCACATCTCCCCCAGCGCTGCAGCTGCTGCTTCTACATTTACAGTGGTGTGAACTCATTTGAAAATTGAATTGCTGCACAGAAAAGAGCAGGGCTAAGGAGAGGCATCTGGGAAGGGAAGGGAAGGATGTTTGGGGGAGGATGTGGGAACAGAGGGAGGGAGAAAGAAAGGGGAAATAAAAAGAAAAGGGACTCCGGTCCTGCCTAATTTTGGCTCCATCCCTGCTCACCACTGGCATTCAATGCCCAAGAGATTTCCTGGTGTATATGCAGTGCTCAGGGCAGCAGTGGGTTGGAGTGGAGGAAAGGTTCCCTGACCCTCTTTTATAGGAACTGAACATTTCTATATTCCCTAAAGAAAGATGAATCTTCACCCTCCCCTTTGGGTACTATATTTCCATTGTTACTTAGGAGACCCTCATGCAAATGCTAAAATATGGCAGAGATGTGCATACTCCGATCATAGGGGTGAACCTTCAAATCTCTCTTGGAGTCAAGGATCTGTCTTCTGTCCCTTTCATATCATCCTTGACATAAGGCAAAGAGGTCCCCTCCCCCTTCATTGCTCAGGCAGCTGCCTGAGGATTTTCCATGCTTGGAAATATTGTAGGGGCTTTACTGATGTAAGTGTAAGAGGAGATTTTCTCCTTTGGATGAGTGCATGCATCCACACTCTTCAAACAGTAAATTCATGGAGGTTAGTGTTAGAATTGGTATTTAAAAATAAATAAATCTGGCTACATGAAATATAGAAACAGAGTGAGTCAGGAGTCTCGCAGGCCATCTAGTCTGACCCCTGGCTTCAGCTGGCTCCACTCATGACATGTCTACCATGTGCATGTCCAGCCTATCCTTGAACACACTCACTGATGGGGCTTCAACCACCTTCCATGGAAGCCCATTCCATACCCTCGGGGTCCTAACTGTCAGGAAGTATTTCCCAGCATCCAAACTGAACCTTGGTTCCCTGAGCTTTCCTCCATTGGAACGTGCCATATGTACAATATATAATATACAGACTGCTGAGATGTAGCTCGGGATCTGCCTTTTCAAACCTTTAGAGTGTGGATTCCATGGAGGGAGTCTCTGGGTTTAGGCCCCCATCAGCTGACACCTGGCAGAGCTATCCAGAATGTGGATCGCAGCTGGAAGAGAGCAGAGGGCTTGTAGCCGATGCAGTGCAGGATGCGCTGCTGGATGGAGACATGGTGAAATGTGCTGGCACAGCCTTCCCCCATGTGGGGACCCACAGTTGCTTTGGTTCTGTTCTTCCCAGCATCAGGGGGGATGGAGATAGATGCTTCATAGTCCAACACACCTGGAGAGCACCAGGTAAAGGAAGGCTATGCTAGAAGCAGCTAAGTAGTATCAGTCCAGAGAGCTCACCTGAATCCTGAACTTCAAGCAGATTCAATGTGGAGCTTGTACTAAAGGAACCAAGCATGAATGCACCCTCTTAAATGTCCATACGAAGGACACCTGTAGTAGGGATGCATGAGGAATCTGACTGCTGGAAATTCCACTGTGAACTCACCTGATCTGCACCTCCTGAATTCATGTGTGAATTAAAACACAATTTCCCTTTGGATTTCACACTAACCCAAATGTTGTGATACAGTTCTTGGCTCTTGAAAAATATGTAAAACTATCCATATTTCAGGATGAGATAAGTTCATGAAATTGATTTATAAATGCATATTCTGCAAAAAAAGGGTCTTAAATGTGTATATAATTATGTATTTTCACAAACTTCCATATATACTTTTAAATGCACATTAATTCAAAAATGGGACAGAATGGATGTATGAAAGGACACTCTTGAAATTGGCATCGCCTGGAAATAGATTGATTCATTTAAACTTAGCCTGAGGGTAACCCAGGCTATGCTTGCAGTGGATACTGGGCATTGTAATCCAATACATTTGAAAGGGAGCTACATACATGGGGAAAGGCTGCCATACACTGGGAAGCAAGAAAAAGGCAAATAAGTTACATGTCCAGTCAGAAGATGGTTGAGCAATTTGGATTCTGCAGAACCCTCCCAGCTCACATGCTGTGCCTCTTCCACCATTCATACAGGATGCTGCCTCGAACTGAGCCATTCCCCTGGTTAAGCCAGCTCAGTATTGTCCCTACAATGACAGGCTCCTCAGCGTTTCCGACAGGATCCCTCCTTAGTCCTCTCTGGAGAAGCTGAAGATTGTCCCTGGGAGCTTCTTCATGTAAAGTACTGAGCTGAAGCCCTGCCGTCTACGGCAACCCACCAACAATGAACCTCAACACCCTGGCTGCACCTTTGTGTGTGTGGAATGCAGTGTCCACATTCCATGCTGTTTGAATGTCCGCTCCTCAGCCGTGCAGATGAACAGGGGCTTGGAGCAGGCTGTGCACGGACGGCTTCAATGGGCACAGTCACCAAAGCAGGCTGGGAATCAGTGAATGTAGCATGGCAAAAGCCCCCCTCCACACTCCTCCTGGAAGTGCACCTAGCTTGCCTCAAAGCCTGTGGCACAGCTGTGTAGAGCCTCTTTGAGCCCAAGAGCCAAATCCTACTTTGGAAAGCTCTTCAGAGTCATAATTCAGTGCTGGGAATGGCTAAAGGCAAAATAAGTGGGGCCAAAACTAAAATACCAGAATATTTCAGCTTAAAGTTTTTACTGTGGATAACTTAGCCTCATTTGAAACGTTTAGAATGGAAAACAAGCTGCACAAAAGCCAGGAGACCACCCAATAATCAGGCGTTGAGGGAAGGGGGACATGGCCTTTTGAGAACCCTCAGTGGGCTCAATTTGTCCACAAGATCGGAGAGTTTCCATTTTGTGTCGTATCTTTGGTTCAAAAGGGGTTGTTTAAAGCCTCTGTTGTACAATCAACTTGGAAGAAGAAGACATTGCCTGCTAAGATGCATTATCCTTGCGCCTGTTCGCAAAAGCATTTTCTACTCCTAACTGCTATCACATGCACCCTCTTTCTCCTCCTTATCCCCCCTACCTGGATTTCTCATTTCAGAGCCATTTCAACGATGAGTGCAAATTCAAAGAGATCCTGCTGCCAAACAACTACAATGCTTATGAGTCCCAGGTCTACCCAGGGATGTACATTGCCCTGAGCAAAAATGGAAGAACAAAGAAAGGCAACAAAGTCTCACCTACCATGACGGTTACACATTTTCTTCCTAGGATTTGAGAGCTGTCCATTCAGAGCTACCTCAGGGAAGTGGGGAGGGGGGAGAAATGGTGAGGCCCAAGTTGAAGAATGGCAGGGGAGGGTGGGAATTTATGGTGCACTTTTCTTGAAAAGTTTTATGCAAGAGTAGATGTAAGATATTTAAATTATTTAAGTCTGTATATATTGCCAGAACGTTATTTATAGTTCCGATTTTTTTTAATTCCTAAAAAAGAAAAAAAAACACATCCAGCATAAAACAAAACCTCTGACTTAAGCTATTCATTGCACAATGCAACAGTAGAGGACTCTATTTTGCATTGTGGTTTATTTAACTCTTTGGGGTAAGTTATCACAGGTGTGCTGCTATTATGTGTTTGTTTTGTTTTTTAAACATGAAATCCAATTCCTATATTTACAATGTTTTGCACTGTTCTGTGTGTTGTACAGTGTTTGTGAGTGGACATAAATTTGTAGCCCTTTTTCCTGCTTCCTTAAAAGAAAGAAAGAAAGAAAGAAAGGAACCAATGATCACTGCCAGAGAAGGTCTTAGTCTTTGAAAACCTTCCTCAGTTCTGATGCCAGCTTGTAGCTGCATACAATGTCCGACCTCCTTTTGTGCAGGGTTGCTATTTCATTGAAATGGTATCAGTTTACTTCTGGTACAGAAAGTGCAGTGCTGAAGTACCACCCTGCAAAGCTGTTTTTAGATCTGCTATGGCTGAACCCTGAACTTTCCTGCAGTCAGTCTCTTAGGACTCGATCCACCCAACACTCCTGTTGAAAACCTTCTTTGAAATCACTGGAGGGTGCACAGCATTGGGGCTCAGGGAATGGCAGATACTCTTAAATCTTGCTTCAGGATTATCATTATGATTATATGAGCATTTTCCCTTAGACAAAAGCCTTGACTGGATGATTTGGCCTGGATAGTGTGTGTTCGTTTCTTTTCCTCAAACACTTGCACTGTGCAACAGGTTAAAATCAGCCGATACAAACGTCGCGTTTGTAATGCAATCTGCCCAACATTTCCATGCAATAACGCCATTTCTCGCTCCCGAATGCATTATTCTCTCCACATCAGAATAATGTATCACTGCTCTCTTTCTTCCTCCCTCTTTCTAAAAGTTAAGGCTATCAAACTGTAAGACACTGCCAGATGATTGAAGCTGATGCATGCTTGAATATTATGCAATATTGAAGAAGAGGAAGTATGCTGCTGCCTTTGAGGCTGCAGTCCGTGACCCGCTAAGGCTACACCTTGGTTTCAGGGGAAGGTGGGAGCATGCAATGGCAGCATGAACAGGCTGAAATGCTTCTCTTGCGCATTCAGCAGAGAATGGACTGAATTAAGGATGATTTTGCTAGATTACCAGAGAGACATGTGGACAGAGCCCAGCTGAAAATGGGCTGATTAGTATACGTTTTAGCGATGTGCCATTCCACTACCTGTCCCCACACAGCTTACCTGCAATGTAGCTGTGTACACCAGAGCTCAGTGGAGCTACACTTTTGTGAGCGTGTTTTGCCAGTGATCCATAGCCTTTCTGTGGAATGTAGGGTCCCTGGGGTCTTCACGGAGGAAAGCATATGGTGCAGTCCTGTAGGCAAGAGATGCCCGCCAAGGGGCCTACAGGCTATGGCAGAAGTCTTGCTAGCCTGGCAGACCTGAATTATGTCTCTGCCACTGGCGTCAATGCTGGTGCCCCCACCTGGCTGTGCCAGCCCATCCCAACTCTGCCAGTGCAAGGCCCCAAATGGGGCAGAGACATGGGAGGGCAGAGGAGGAGCGGACTGGGGATGACTCATGTATCCCTTCAGGCCCAGGCACACCTCTTGATAGAATGCAACTTTGCCGCAGCCACTGAGCTTAAAGCACAAGGAAAATCCCGCCAAGGGCTTGCTGGGGCATGCTGGTAATTATAGTCCAACACTGCTGGAGGGCACTAGGTTGAGGACAGAGCAAGTTTGAATGATGTAATGTAAACACTGGCCCAGGTATTAATGAAGAATAGTAGGGGTGCAGAACTTTAGGCACCTCTGGGGGTCCCAACCCTGCCTTTGGGGGCTCTCCGGATGGCCATGTCCTGGTCTCCTGATCCCACCCCTTTACACAATCTAGGATTGTTTGGTCCAGGCATGTGGTCTCACTCCTAGGCCGTTCCGTTGACTTGAACTACTGTGATGTAAATGGCTTGTGGGCTGCAGCCTTAGCATTTCATTCCCAAACATAACGAAGTGATTCATGTCTACCTCACTCATCTATTCCTTGAGCCGGTTCCCTGACAAAATCTGCATAGAAGGCACATAGATTTCCCTCCCCCCACCCTCTCCGTTCATTCAGTGTTATAATTCCAGAGTGGGAGGGAGGTTCCCAAATCCCTACTTTTTCTCTTCCATATGTAGCCAAAAGTATTCCAGATAGCGTTGGTTGCATCCAATTTGAGCCTTGTCACATTTGTGCTATCTTTACCCAGTGATTTACTTTTAGTAAGGATAATCATGGTGAAAATATTTGCAGACAGCTGTCAGGCTGTAGCACTATATGGTCATCCAGTAACCCTATATTTTTCTTTATATATTTTGTGAATGTAAACCATGTCTTTAAAGCAAAGAATGAACAGGCAGGTTTAAAGAAAGATGGTTGGGAGTTGGAGAGGGGGAGAAAAGGAAAGTCTGAAACTTCTGTTAAGCTTTGTAGGGATTTCTTTCTTTCCTTTTCCACCCTTTTAATGAAAGTGCGACCTGGAAAGAAAAATGCAAAATTTATTAGAGAGATTTCTTGAGAGCAATGTCTTGCAAGCTGTCTCATATGTTAGCCTCCTCATATTTTAATTGATAGCTCATCCTGCTATGCCTTGAGTTTAAAGCTTGCAGTAGTGTCAGAGAAAAGCTTTCCATAAGACACGCAGGTTATTCTATCAGGGTAAGATCATTAACTTGATATTTCGCTGCTGCTGCAAGCATTGCAACCTGCAGAGATCAATAATTGGAGGGGGCAGGCAGGTGTTCTCAAATAGTTTTGTCTGCATGGGCTACTTTAGACCACGAGTTATTTCCATTGATTTCAGTGGGATTCCTTTGGGATAAATATGCAAATACAAGCGCTTCTTGTTCTATTTAGTTTTTAGCCCAATACTATTCATTCAGTGGACCCAAGAACTCTTGAGTGATCGGGTACCCATTCCCTATGTTGCCACCCCATTTGCAGGTGGTGAATTGGGAGTGGCCATTTTGGCACCATTTATGGGCCCCCAAAGTAATTTTGGGGAGAAGAGGAATTTCCATGTTGGGTGTGTATGTGGCAACTTACTTTCCCCCCTTTCTGTTGTGAATCTTAAAAGCTGCCAGGTTTGGTGGTAAATACTAAAGAAGGGAAGCATTTTTTTTAAAATGGAGGAAGAACCCCTGCCGCCCGCAATTGCTTCCTACAAAATGAAGCAAATAATTTCATGCCTTCCCATTCTTTTCTGTGATTCCAGTTTAGCTTTTGCCCTGGAATCCCTTAAAAGCAACCCCTTAAAAGAAACAAAACAGAAAGAAACTAAGACCTGGGCTTTGTTTGGAAGGACTAGCCCAGCACAGACAGGAAGGGAGATATAGGAATAGGAAATAGGTTCCATGGCAAGAAGTATATTCTTTTCTTCAGGTCTGCTTTCCATATTCCAAAACTTGATGTAGGAACATAGGAAGTGTCCCATGTGCGTGTACCTTTATGGCCCATCCCTTAAGACGTACTTGCAAATGAGCCTGGAAGTATGCAGGGTTGGACATGGTGACTGCTCCATCCATGCAAGGTTGCAGCCTCAGGCACTGCCATGGCCATTGCAGCAGCTTGATGGACAAGGACATCGCAGACCGAGCATGGCCACAATGTTGCATGTGCTTCAGACAAGAGGTGGGCAGAATGTGGTTGCCAGATATTTTGGACTTCCTGACCATTGGCCTGGCTGGCAAGGGCTTCTGGGAGCTGAAGTTCAAAATATCTGGAGAGCTGTCTTCTGCTCTAGAGCAATCTTTCCCATTCAGATGCTAGCCAGATGCTTTGGATTGCAACTTGCAGCATTCCTGAGAGTTGGCCATAATGATTGAGGCTGATGGGGACTGGTCTCCAAAATGTTTAGAGGGGACCAGGTTGGGGAAGACTTCTGCAGGATAAGCTGTGTGATAAGGAGGGCCAGGCCTGCTATGATTTAACACACAGTATGGAGTGGTGATGAAGCCTGTCTTGGTTTTCTAGGCGGACTGTCTTCTCCCCTCTGCAGGGAAAAGTGAAAGATCACAGGCTAGCTCAACATAAGGGGCTGATCTGAAGAGAGATATGGGAATTTGCTTCTGTGTGTGCCTGTTAGTGGAGAGGAAGGGGGCTGTTCAGGATGTAATACTAAACTATGGTTTAACATTACATGCATCAGCCTTAGATTCCCACACACACTTCTCCTCCTCCTTCTGTGTGGCCACAAGCTGATCAGAAACCTTTCCTTTTAAACTCAGCAAGTTGCCTATGAAGTTTGAACTTGCAGGAACTTATGAGGAGGGGCCAAAGTTCAATGCTGTGCATGCAGAAGGCCCCTGGCTTGATTCTTTGCCTCTCCAAATAGAACAGGGAAAGGCCATTGTCTAAAAACCTGCAGAACTGCTGATAGTCCATGTAGAAAATGCTGAGCTAGGTCAGGGTGGGCAGCTGGTGGCCCCCCATATGTTTTTGCCTATGATGCCCAGCTAGCATAGCCACTGCAGAATGAACATGGGAGATGAAGGCCAAAACATCTGGAGAGTCATAATTGGTCACTCCAGACCTAGATTGTTGAAGACTTCAACTCCCAGAAGCCCCTGCCAGCAATGGCCAAGGGTCAAGAATGCTGGAAGCTGGTCTACTTTCTACTTTCTGTCCACCCCTGCTTTAAATTAGAATTAGTTCACACAAGTAAAAATCAAACCTAATCATAATTAGAATTCCCTTTGTTAAGGCATAACAGGGAATTCGGTTTTAAGGAGAAATTGAAGTTTTCAGTTGCCAC